TACACACACACACATGTATGTTTGTGCATTTATATATAGATAATAAATATACACAGTAGTACACACACATATATTATGTAAACAAAAACTTTTATTTTCATCGTTTGACAGCACTAAAAATTAGTAAAACTGAAATTAAAATAAATGACATTTAATACTAAAATATATAAAATCAAAATTAAAAAATGTATACTATAGGAGTATATAAATAATATACCACTAGTATATTATAGTAGTATACTACTACATGACATCACATGACATGAATTGAAAATGAACGTTTTTTTTAAAACCATTAGAAATCAACATGAATACTAAGGGTACATTTCTAAATTGGCATATGCATGTGTGTGTGTGTGCGCGTGTGCAGGACTGAACATTGGGCCAGTGGTCGCAGGAGTTATTGGCGCCAGAAAGCCCCAGTATGATATCTGGGGAAACACAGTAAACGTGGCCAGTCGGATGGACAGTACAGGGGTCCCAGACCATATTCAGGTAAACCTTCAAGCCTACATGCCATAGTCATCAGGAGCAAGTGATTTAGTAGTGATTTTCTGATGTTTTACTGGATGTCTTGCAGGTGACCACAGACCTGCACCAGGTGTTGGCCAGTAAAGGTTACCAGCTGGAGTGTCGAGGGGTCGTTAAGGTGAAAGGCAAGGGTGAGATGACCACTTACTTCCTGAACGACGGACCTCCCAACAGTTAGCAGCACACTAGAGTTCCTTTGGATTCCCACAATTCCCCAGAGAGGAGGATTTCTAGAGGCAAGCAGAAGACAAACAAGTAGCCATCGCCATCACTTGAAGAAAAAAGGAAGATTATTGGAAAAAAACAAAACAAAGCAGACTCCAGACTGGAGAGTCATGGCGGTCGTGGATATGGCTGTGCACCTTGAAGGACGATTGTTTTTAAGCCTCTCCCTCAGGCTGCTTGAAAGATGCAAAGTCTGTTTATTTAATAAAGGCCTTTATTTGCTGAAGAAAAACGCTGTACATAAGGCATTTTTTCTCCAGTTTTATTTTTGTGTGACATTTTTTTCCCTCCGTTATTCTTATTTCAGGAGAATATAAATACAGGTACTCATGTTTTGTTCGGAATTCCTTATTTATTTTGATCTTGATGTTTTGTGCAAAAAGTCCTTTATGGAACAAGTGTGAAAAGCGCATACACATTTATACCGTACATAAACACGTACGCTCGTATATCTGTGTGTGTGTGTACAAATACAGTATCTGTATAAATTAAGAAGAGAACTATTGACCAAAGACCAAAGTATTTAATAGAAAAGAAGTTGTCAAAATGTTTGCGGAAGTTTGAATATTATGTAATGCTCTGACGTCCTCACCCCTCGATTTTTTTCCTGTTTTCATGACGTCTTATCATTTACAGTAAATTACACTGATTGATGAGCAATGCGGGTGACTGGCAGAGCATTGCGCACCAGATCATATGAAGGACTGAATGATTTAATTTAAAGTCGTGCTTTTCCTTCAGAACGACAAATTCTAGATGGAAAACTGTTTGGAAAAGCTGTGGAACAATAGGGATTTTTTTTTTTTGGAAGTACGACCAGGTCTGGGCCTTCAACGCGTTCTCTAGGAAGACTTCGGTTTTATTTTGTGTTCCGTCAACCATTTCTTCTTTTTTCAAAGAAGTATTTTTGGTACAAAATGAAATAAAAGGGAAAAAAAGTTTTTCGGAGGCATCTGGGGAAAAGCCACGGCATTGGATACCACGGTACGAGACCGTTTATCGAGATCCAATTCATTCTAGAAGGACTTTTTTTAAAACGAAAGAAATATATCTATAAATTATGACTGAATACTGTGCTTTGTAATCTCGAAGGGGCATAACTCTTTTCACTGTGAGGTTTCTATGATACAACTAGCTGCTTTCTTGCCAAACTAAACAGCTCAACAGCATGTCTGATTGTGGTATCTTCTCTACGATTTTTGTTTGTTTGATTCCCTGAAGTTCTAATGTTTGAGTATTTTGTATCACCTCTGTATCCATTTTTTAAATTCTTATTCTGGTTGTTCTTATCTATTCAATTGATTCCATTCCAGCTGAGGAGAGGGAACAAAGACCTGAATCGAGGCGTTCAAGCGAATTGGTACTAACGGATCAACTGCAGTCAGTGACGTATGATCGGATCAACAATATTCCCTCCACCGCTTGTTCTGCTTCATTGTAGTGAACATCTCTTTAAGGAAAAAGCCACATGGGAAAATACATATTTAAACCGTAAACTTCAAATTGCCAACATGGAAGACTTCCCATACACTGCATGTGTGCAGTGCGAATTGCAGTGCATTTGCCTTAATTGAACATATTTCAGCATATGATAACAGTGCCTCTTCGTATCAGACTGTCTACGACGCAAACTGTGCAATTCACTCGGTGGACGCGACGCAATTGCGGCCACGTTCGTTAACTCGGTCACCTCTTTCAGCGTAATGGCTTGCATGATGGCCAAAGCACTTGTCTTTTTCCTGCTGTGTTCTTCACTTATTGAAAACTTGCTCTGATCGTAGCTTGCTCATTGCATGTCAGTTGATCACGTTCATACCAAAGGCAGGGGGCCCTGTTGTTCCGTCCAGTATGTGCAATAAAAGCGTACACGAGTGGAGATTCAGCGCGAGGGAAGCAAACACAGTATCTGATGTACTGCGGACAAGCAGGAGTGTATTGTAGTACTACTGACTCTCACACTGGGGCCTCTGTCTAGATCAGGGCTGAACGACTCCTGATCGTCTCCTTATTTTCGTTTACCTTTCAGTTGTTTCATTCTTGTTTTTACTTTATTCGAAGGATTAGAAAAGGGACGAGCTCTTCAACTTTGCAAAGGCAAGTTGAAAAAAGACTTTATGAATATTGACAAATTTTTCCCCTCTAAAAATAAAAAAAAAAAATGTCTGTTTTATTTGGTTTTTGTGATTGCTTTTTATTGTGGTTTTGTTTGAATCCCTTTTTAAATTTTGTTTTGGTATAAGACATTGTGTTTGCATAGGAATTTGAAGAGTTTTATTTACTTCAAATTATTGATAAGAACATGTCACCTGTTTTATCACCATTATTGGGCAAAAAAATGGGATCAGATTTTAATTTATTTGCAATTAATGATAATCACTTCCATAATCAAACTAGTATCACTTAAATTTTAACAATGTGAACCGATTCATTTCTGCATTTCAAAACCCTACATGAGAATTGCGTGTAAATCAAGATGCCTTGCTCATTAAAGATTTTATGCATTTGGTGAGCTGTAATTTAAATACCATCGTTAACGCAACTTAACATAATCCTAGATCATTATATCATCATGTTGTGGTCAGTTTTTGATACTAACGAAAGAAGATTCAAAACATTTAGAGGTCTAGTAAAAACTTAACCTCAGGAAGATGTTTAGAATGGAAACTGCTTCAGGTCGTTTTGTCACAAATGGTTCATTGTTTTATTAATACTGGACTTAGCCACCATAATGCATGTATATGCAAAGAACAACATTTAGCACAGAGTATGGAACTTAATTTATTGCACTAAATTCTATAAACAATATGGCACAGCCATAGATGTGTAGTGGATACGCTAGACTTGCATTACTGTGAGTTGTGTGTCCTCTGCACCACCTGATCTGCAAAGCGAAGTGACACACTGCAGTGTTGAAGTATTATGGGACTGTGATCATCATGTGAACATACTGTCCAACAGATTTATAGACCAGGAATCAAAACAAGCTGAAGTCTGGGCAGGTCATTGACATCTCATTCACAAACCTGAAAAAAGAAGTGAAATTTGCATTCAAGCATTACACATTAATTGTCTGTTGACAGACACACATTAGCCTACATAGCTTCATACTTTGTCATTTCGCTGTTTTTGCGTGGGAAGCGACGGGTTTGGGTCCAAGGCTCCTGGTTCTTCAGGCCACCACTGGAAACCCACCAGCCGTACTGCTGGTTGTCTGTCACAGGTACACGATACAGTTCTTTAGGAGCTGAAAGGGAAGCACAAGATCTCACACTGATATCACTTATTAACAGAGAATTCCTCCATTTTGTCCGAGCATAATTACATGAACTCTCAGAGTAATAGATTCAGTATGTGGGTGTTTGATGGATTTAGTGTGAACTTACACCTCTGAACGCGTCTGCTCAAGTCCTGATATCTGCTCTGACTGCCGAGATGCAGGTCTGATGAGTCTGAAAGGAACATATCGGACCTCACTACTGTAGGTAAACAGATGTGCTGAAGACTTTTCTTAAGCGCCTGTATCAGAGTCGCACCAAAGCAACCTTACCTCGTGTAAGTTGGTTCTGAGTAGATGTTAACATCCTGTCCCCAAAAGGGTTCTGATAGCCCAAATATGTGATTCCGAAGAATGCCATAATCACAACTGTATTACGATAACTAGCTAAACAACCGCCGAAAGAACGAGCTGCACCGAACGAGCACCGAAAAGAGTCGAACACGAGATTCACGCGCTGTCTTCAAACGCTGTTTAATGTGTTGCCATGGATACATACTTGCACTGCCCCCTCATCTCCCGTTTATTTATCAGCACTTTTATAACCTAAACCCTAAAGCATTTCGAAGTCATAGATATTGCTTGCTTATTAAATATCCCCTCCGTCCACTTGCTAGTTCGCCGTCCTATAGTTAACGACTTGTTTGTGGAGGAAATAAACCCAGGGTTAAATTATCCAATCGGGTGCACCTGGCATAGTAATCTTACTGCTTGAAGAAAATTTAATACCGAGCCATTTTCTAAATATTTTCTTTGGGGGTGTGTGTGTGTTTACAACTGAAAAGTGATTACAACGCTTGGCTTCGGTACAGGTAAGCACTTGAGTTGAGCCACCTCAGTCCTTTTTATAAGATAATTATTCAAATGAAAGAGTTCGCATCAGTCAATGTTTGTCTACGTGTTTTTTATTTTTTTACAAATACTAATACTTTGCTATTTAGTCTTTTAGGTTTGGCTATGTGGTTCTTTTAGAGATTAAAATAGTTATTTAATAGAGAGTAGTATTTAGATTTCTTCCTTACTCGACATTTCTTTTTTTATGCCTGTCTGATACTATTGGATGTATTCACGGAGAGCCGAAGCACTACCAAAACAATGTTCTTCCGCTTGACGCGTGCAGGTTATTTTTACATTTATATTTACATTTAGTCATTTAGCAGATGGTTTTATCCAAAGCGACTTAAAAATGAGGAATTTTTACCTGCTTTACAGAGTGTAGCTTTAAAATAGTTCTGCTGTGTGACAAATGAATCCGCATATTCCATGTTTCACTCATTGTGTCCGTAATTAATATGAGCTCATACAAATTAATGTCACAATGAAGAACACTCTTGCCACTGTTTGACATTTCATGTTAACAACTAAATTGAAAACAGCACAAACTAATTTACTTTGCAGTTTTTTCAGATGCCACAAATGGCTGAAGTTAGATAAAGTTGAAGTTGAAACAGAAATGTGCTCAAAGTTTGGATTGTTTTCTTGTAGGATGCGCTTACGAAATCCTCAATGTGCACTACCCATAAAACTGAGCATCTTGGGACTGACAGTTTTAATCACCATACTATGGATATTACTGCTGGATCTAGAAGGGTGGAGGTCTGCCAGCTACTGGTTTCAAGGTCTTTCCTTAAAGGCAAGATACAGAGGCGGTATGGGTAGGAATTCCAGCGGCATCTGGGATTTTCAGATGAATACCTCTAAACCACCCTTTGAAGAGGCTACAGCGTTATCTGGAGATGCCAGGTGTCCCTCTGGATTCTACAGCATGGAGGAGCTCAGGCCTCACATTGAGAGACCTCAGGAGGATCCTGAAGGACCTGGAGCTGATGGAAAGCCCATCATCACTGGTATCTTGACACCTGCAGAGCTGAGGGAGAAACAGGAGGGTCTAGAAATGGCTTTAACCAGTTTGCCAGTGATCGCATGTCCTTCCACCGCAGTCTTGGTGTCGACACGCGGCCCCCTGAGTGAGTACCATAGGAAGCAGACTGAGTATAATTTTTCATATTTTACCCTTTGATCATGTAGCACACTTCTAGTTCACTGTTACTCTTTCAAGATGCATTGAGCAAAAGCTCAGAAGATGTCTGCAGTTACCCACTACCAGTGTGATCATTGTGTTGCACAAAAGAGGCATGGTCCACTCTTCTCCACACCATCTGCAGTGTCTTACACACTTCACCAGCTGTTTTACTTAAATCATACTGGTGGATGATGCAAGTACTCAAGGTGAGTAAAGGCAAACATGCATTGCATTTTTTGGTACCTGCTTTGAATAAGGTAGACAATAAAACGAGCAAACAAATTCTATGAACTTATGTTGAAGGATGGACCCAAGCCATATCTAGAGACCAGAATATCATAAAGACCTGGGGTCTCATTTATAAAACTCTCCGTAGATTTCATCCTAAAAGTGTACGTACACACAAGTTTTCAGATTTATAAAACCATGCGTACGCCAGAACCTGTGCAAAAATCCCTTTATAAATCCCAGTCAGGGTAAGATTGTGCGTACAGTGCATCTCCACCCCGACTCCTCCCCGAAATCACCATATATGGCGCTTACAACGCCTAGTTTTACTATGCATAACCTCATCTGCATATCATTTCCATGCACATTCCATCCACGTGACACCATGTTTAACACTGTCAAAGGCACAAAACATTAAGGGAATATGAGATACGGACTATGAATGCCATTTGTGCCATACACAATTTTTATTGCTAAAAATCATCCAGTATCCTTGTTATATTTTAGAATAAATATATTAAAATATCCATAAAAACAAAACTGTTTAAAATAGTTCTCAGATAGGCTAAATATTTTAGAATAGAGTTGAGCTCATTCTTTTCCACTGGCCAAATAAGTGTGTGTGTTTTGTGTGTGTTTTCTCAGGTGAGTGTTTCTATGGTTGGTTGGAGCCTCTGTTGGCCTCGTTAGTTCAAGAACCTACCACAGTTGTGAGCCCAAGCATTGCTGTCATCGACAAGAACAATCTACAGTTCATAAAGCCTGTGATGTCAGCCCGCACGCATAGCCGTGGGAACTTTGACTGGATCCTGAGCTTTGGCTGGGAGACTATACCTGAAGAAGAGAGGGTGAAACGCAAAGATGAAACCTATCCTGTCAGGCAAATCTACAAAAACACACATAGAGACACCTTTCTCATGTCCACATATTAAGTAAAATTGCATCCCTTGAGTGAACTATTGTTAACAAAATTAGAAGATTTTGACATTTGTCATTTGCAAATGATTTACTATAACTCATTATAATTCTGATACAGTTTTGTTATTGTTAACTAAAACTATTAAACATAATATTCTTTAATTCAAATAAAGCCAAAATAAAAATAATATATAGAAGAAAATAACATAATAAAATGTAAAATAATATATAAGAAAATGTATAATAAAAATGACAACTGAAATAGAAAAGTTGAAGTACGAAAATTACTAAAATTGAAATTAAAGATACATAGAAGTGTATATATATATATATAACAACAAAAGCAAATAAAAATGATGAAAGCACATAACAAAATTATTATTAAAAATTACAATGAAAACTCAATGTATAAATAAAAGCTAATTCAAAATATTAATAAATAATATAATGTTATATAAATAATACTAAAAATAACTCTTCTGCTGTCATACATTATGTATTGTCTCTTGCAGGTATGGCTGTGTGGAGGCAGTCTAGAGATCATTCCCTGTTCTGTGGTCGGCCACATCTTTTGCACCAAAAGTCCGCATTCCTTTCCAAAAGGCATAGATGTGATCACACGCAACCAGGTTCGCCTCGCAGAAGTCTGGATGGATGATTACAAGAAGATTTTCTACAACAGAAATAAAAAAGCTGCTGCTATTGCAGCGGAGGTGAGAGAAGTGGATAACGCATTTAATATTTTAAATGATTACAAAATCTTATCTGTAAAGCTCACATATTTCTCTTCTACCTTTGAGGAGCACAGAAATCATATGGGGACATCAGTGAGCGGTTGAAGCTCAGAGAGAGGCTGCATTGCTAAAATTTCTCCTGGTACCTAGAGAACATTTACACCGAGGCCTTTGTGCCCGATTTGAACCCTGTGCTGTTTGGATCGGTAATGTAGTGTTATAATTTCAGATTTGTTACAATAATAGCTATTACCAGCAAAATATTAATTTTTTGTACATATTGTGTCTGTAGTTGAAGAACATTGCCACAAACACTTGTCTTGATATTGGTGAGAAGAATCCTGGAGGGAAGTCAGGGATTTTATTCATTTGCCACAACATGGAAATAAACCAGGTACTTTATGATTACTGCTGTCATCCGCACGTTATTTTTTATTGGCCATTTTTAATAATTTTCCAAACATTTGTTTTGCTTGTTTGGCCAAAGTAAACAAAAGCACACTGCATATAAAATAAAACAAAAATGGAAGATACAAAAAAAAAAGCTAATTCTAAATATTATAATGGTATATAAATAGCGCTAAAATATTATTATTGGTCAATTTTCTATACCTTTCTAAACATTTGTTTTGCTTTGTAGTATTTTGAGTACACGTCACATCAGGAGCGGAGGAATAATATTGATAAGCAGCTGTGTCTGCATGCGACGATCGAGCCTGAACCCGTGCAAGTGGAGCTGTGCAACTTTCAGGGCGAAGGAACCGTCCCTGCTCCACAGCAGACATGGAGTTTGATTCTTGTTTCCCAACAGGTGTGGTACATCTCCCAACATCCCTTTGCCTCTGGCTGCATAATGTCACAAATAATGAGTGCAGTATTATGGCACAAAATTATCTTATAATCTCAAACTTTTGTGGGTGTTATCTTTTAGAGATTTAAATTTGATCTTTAATGTGTGTTATCTTACCTTTTATATATTTGCAATTGTTTGCAGATATATCTTCTCCATAATGCTCTCTTTAGTAAGTGTTTAATGGTGGAGTATGGCAACATCATCATGAAAAACTGTGACCCTGCTATCAATTATCAGCATTGGTCTTTCATCTGATCTGAACTCAAAAGAGGTTCGTCCTCCATCAGATTATCTGATTCTTTTTTTTTTGGAATATTGCACAAAACAGAAGTGCAGTGAATAATGTTGCATCACTGTTTCGCACTAATGTAAGGTTTGTGCAGTGTATCAGGAGTTCTTAATTGAATTATTCATCTCAATCAAATGAAATTGGGCTGATTAAATTAAACCTGATTAAATGCACTAAAATCAATGTTTGTCAAATAATGCACACTTTTAATTAACAATGTTGTTACTCGCATCAAACGCTGTTCAGTTGTAGTAGCATTTGACCAATGTGTTTATAAATTAAAGCTGATGAATGAAAATGTCTTTTTGTAAGCAGCTTGTGCAATGACTGGATGTAATTGTGCAGTGGATTGAATGGTTTATCTCTGAGCCAGGCTTCTTAAAAATCCAATCAAGTATGGACATTAACGCAAGGTGGCGCTAATGCAACAGAATAGAATAGAGCATGCTGTTTGTTCTGCAGTTGTTAACGTAATGTTAAATGTCTAAATCATTGAAGTAGCTTTATACTAAATATCTATGCGACTATGCTTAATTGTTGTAATTATTAAATACGTTTGTTCTAGTTTATTTTGGTTTGTTTGTTTTTATCTGCAATGTCACGCTGACATTCTTCCAGAGCTCTTCATTCGACTTTTTTCTAGCTCTTATCAGCGGGACTTAACACTCATTAGATATTCCGCATGCGCGCTCTCCATTGGGCTGAAGAGCGTTCAGCATGTTCACCATTGCAGCGTTTAGCTGTCAATCACCGCCCTACGTGGGTTGTTTGCCACAAGCCCCTCCCTCCTGTCGTCTGTCCCCGCCCACCGCTCTTATCCCCAGCGCAGTTGCGCGGTGACGTCTGATTCTCCAGCAATGATGGGCAGTCGAGCGAGCGCTGGTGAGTTTCTCTTTCCACCAATAAAATCACACAAACCCGCCGTGTCATTTCAACAGGGAAGGAGGAAACTGTCTTAAAGAATGACACTGTAGTGGCTATTGTTATATTTTTTGCGCTGAGTCTGTTACAGCTCTTTAAGTTTAGCTTGCTATTTAGTCCTGCTATTTTTGTTTTAAGTAAAGAGCACTATAAGTAAGTAGCATGTTGTCATGCAGTGAGTGCGTTTGATTCTGCAGTGTATATTCAGCGGTCTACTAAGTTCAGCTTTTACTTTACCAGCTTTATTATGTACCGTTTGATGTTAAATTTATTCCAGATATCTATGTTTAAGGCATTTGTTGTGAATGCGATGCATTGCATAAAATTATTAGCAAGCTGTAAGTCCAGTCAGTGCCAGGGCTGAGCCCTGTTAAATAAGGGATTGTGCTAATAACATGGTAAGTTCAGAGTGTGGGTTTGAGGGAGGTTGTGTTTTTGTCAGACGAGGTTTATATGTGTACCTTTCCTGTATGCCACAGAGAGAGCACACACTACAGTCCCTGAACTCAGTGGTAGGACTTTTTAAAAAAAAATTCAAATTCAAGTAGTTATGTGACGTGACTTGCCAAATTTCTAGTTAGTTAATTATTAGAACAGCTGTAGTTGGTGTTGTTTATATGTTCCCTAAAAAGTAGGAATTATTGCATGTGAAATAACTTCATCAAATCCATATAATTTATCTAGACTACTTTCTTTCCAAGTGTATGTCTTCATAATCAGGCCATTTAGTTAACAAGCTTGCTCTGTGGTTCTGTTGTGTTATTTGTTGTTATTGTGTCACTTGTTTAATATTCATACTAATGCCTTTGACATTGTACTGTGTGTGTGTTGGCAGCTTTAGTTAAAGTGCTCTTTGGAGAACACCTTTTGTATGTGAATTTACGTGTCACATTTTTCAGTAGAGATAGATCAGTTTCTTTATTTAGGCATTTTGAGGTTGGCGATGACTGATTAACATGCACATAAAAGTGTTATTTTGCAGTTTTGCTGTTTTTGTTGTCATTAAGTTATGTGTTGTATCAGCATTATCGTCCATCCTGATGACTATGGAAATGATACAGCTGTAATATAACTCCATAAACATACTTTTGATCTGACTGTATGAATGTAAGGACAACGTGAGATCTGCGGTTTAATCTTTTTCTGACCTCTTGGCAGACAAGATGAGCCTTCCCCTCTCACGCTCCGAAGTGTTTGGGCAGCTGAGGAAAGAACTACATGATGATACGGAATTTCACCAGTCTGACGTTCATACCTTCATCATCATGGGGGCTTCGGTGAGTCTCCGTGTTTGTTTGTGTGGTATTTTAAAATCTCTGTCCCTACTAATGAGGAATTGATACAGTCTCATCTGCAACCATTAATTGTCACTCCTTTTGTATACTTTGGATCTACTGATGAGCTACAAAGTTGTGTGAATTCATGTATTTGGGTGACTTTGTTTTATTAGAGTGACTACATTTTTTATGCACATCAGTATTCTGAAATTAATTGAAAATTGGAAGTGGTCTGTTTAGTACTGAATCATGTAAACGCCACAATCCAATGGCCTGATTCAGTTTAAGACAATATTCAGATTTCCCAAATTCTGATTCCCACCCCTGGAATATCATACATTTGTTGCATGTAAACACCTTATTCAGAAAATGGAAACACTTTAGATTAGGGAAAAATATCCACTATTAACTAGTTGCATATTAGCATGCATATTACTAACACAATGGCTGTTTATTAGTGCTTGTAAGGCACATATTAATGGCTTATTCTGCATGACCACATTCTAGATTCCTTAACCCTACCCCATACCTAAACTTGACAACTACAACAGCTACCTTACTTACTATCAATAAGCAGCAGATTAGAAGTTTGCTGTGGGAAAACTCTTAGTTAACAGTGTTCCCTAATCTACAGTGTTACCCAGAAAATTTACCGAAAAGAGATATATGCGCACACTCCCCACAACTTCCCAGTTTGTAAAGCACAATGAAATGCACATTACAACTGGCACAGGTGCGCATACAGTTTCATCACCGGATTTCATCACACTTTCCATGATTGCATATAGTTTGTGGAATGAGTGTTTCCACATTCTAAAATTCTGTTGCTATTTTGTAAACTCTGACATCACGGCTCTCTCCCACCAGTCCTTGCTGCAAACTTTCATCCCCTCGCTTTTCTTCTGTCGCATGTGTTTATTAATGTTTGTGCCATGCTTTGCATTTCATGGTGGTGTTTTTGGGATTGTTGGAGGTAAGAAGTCCTAATTAAATTATTGTGAAAACATTCTAATAAAAACTAACCAATGGCAGCGTCTTGACTCTTTGAGAAAAGAAACCGCACATGTGTGGATTGGCATACTTAAAAAAAAAAAAAAAAAAAAAAA